GCCCAAGCTGACAGGAGTGGGTAGGTCTCCCGTCAACCAACCTGCAGGAGGGGGCACTATTCTGGGCCCCAAAGCTTTTTTTTTTTTTAAATTAAAGTATAGTCGACATACAATATGGTATCAGTTTTAGGTGTACAACATAAAAATTTGACATTTATATACTTTATGATGTGATTACCATGGTAAGTCTAGTAACCACCTGTCACTGTACAAAACTATTACAATATCATTGACTGTATTCCATATACTGCCCGAGACTTTGCTCAGCCCTTGTCTGACCCAGAACTATGGAAAATCCCCTCAGGAAAGTGGAAGTGAGAGAAAGTGGTAGTGTGGAAGGGAGAATGGCTGCTGACTAAGCTGGACCCAGATGACACCTCCAAACCTGGACAGTGATGGAAGCCTGGCTTTTTCAGATACAATAAGAAACTTTACTTGGAATTATTTAATTAAGTACATGGTTCTTATAGCATTTTGTGAAAACTGAGACTTTAGGATAATTGTTGATTTGGGGGGGGTAATTTGTATAGGTAAGAAATCTCATCCTATTACTTTGTTTGTTTGTTTTTTACTGAAAAACTTTTAAAACTCCATCTTTAATAATAAATTGAAGCCTTGAAAAGAAAGTAAGAAGGGAGAATCTTAAAGAATATTCTTCTCTGCTCTCAACCAAAGATCAAGAAAAAAATAACTTTTACTATTTTTACATTTCCTTTTTCCAATCTTGAGTGCATTACACACAGCTAGATCCATTGTAGATGCAAGATAAAGTCTTCTTGAATGAATGAGAAAGGGTTTATTGTTATTTGGAAAGAATGCTGTAGTATATCAGCATAAGCAAAAGTGTTTATTTACGCTTTATATAGTGCAGAAAATTCACTCTCTGGTTCATTTCAGTGGTGATGGGTAATGTGGCCAGAGGACCACACTTCAAGGACAATGGCACAGACAGCAGCTCCGTGTTGATAGTAAAGGGTGCACTTGGCCTCAGGCTACACCTGGAGAGACCTAGAAAAGTTTCTCACTGGCATGAAATAGTAGAGCTATCCTGGAGAAGAGGGCTTTGTTGGCTAGGCTAAGAAAGGCTAAGCTGCAGTAACAAATAACCACCCAAACTCAGTGGTTTTACAGAAAGTCCAGTTACCACTCATGTTACTCTCCAGTGCAGGTCACAAAGCCTGCCTCTGTTTTGTAGCCTCGCCCTATAGATCCCACGACCTCCAAGGCTGCAGTATCAGGAGTTTACATGGGATGTTCTTCAGGGCCATGAAAGTGGATCACTTCAGCATACATTCCACCTGTCCAGACTCACTCATATGAGCCCATCTGCAAAGGAGGCTGGGAAATGTAGTTTAGCTGTGTGTATAAGAAGAATGTGGTGGGGAGCACATAGTATTTTCTGCCACAGAGAATGGCAGCAAATAAAAGGGTACACACCAGCTTCTCTTGGGGTTTCTGGCTTGGGATGTGCAAGGACACTGTCCTTCTCTATGTTAAGCACGCTCTTCATTATACTTGGTCAAATGGAAGAATAGAAATTTAATTGCAAATCAGTGAGCTGTGGCATCCTGGAATCCATACCTCTGAGTTAGATACGATACTTTTTTTTTTTTTTTTGTCTAGGTAAAGTCCAAGGTGAATTGGAACCCGAGGAAATTGCCACGACAGTTGAGCAGCTTATGTACACTTGAGACTGCATGTTTCCACTAGGGCATGGGCTTGAATTATTTGAGAGGCCCAGACCACTTCCTCCATGTACCCCTTACCAACCAGACTGGAGAAGAGAGAGAATAGAGACTTTTAGAAGCACCTGAGTCTCTCACTCTCCTCCAGAATTAGAGTCATGGCCCATAGGGTCAAGAGTTGACTTCTGCCGAGTGAGGAACACATCTATCTTGCAACCCGTTCTGTTGCTCACTTTCAGAGTGGGTCAAAATCCTTCAGACCAAGATTCTAACAAAGAAACACAATCTTTTAAGACACTTGCCTTTAATCATTGGGTGGCTTATAGGGAACCATACCTATTCTTCCCCACCGCCCCCCATCCTTCAGGTTTCTACATCCTTTGTCTGACCCTGTCCTTTAGGCCCTGCAGGGGACATTCTCTGGATATTTCTGTCCTGGGTCATCCAGTCAGTTTCTGGCTCATTCGGACTTTCCAAATAACCCAGTAAGCTCTGAGTTGTGACATTGTAGGTATGTCTGGTTATGTAAGTGTGTAGGGGTGGGGGGAGGGAGTCAAAAAGTCTGTAAATCAAAGTATAAATTTATTGAGTTTACATTATCATTTTGATGAGCAGAAAGGCTTTTCCCCAAAGGGAATTTCATCCCAGTATCCAGAGCTCCAGACCTGCCCAGGCTTTTTTTCTCTGCCTGTCAGTTTTAAGTTTAGTTTTCTCTAACTGACCAGCATTGCTCTATCCCTTGTCACTCGGAGAAGAGGGCTTATCTGCCCTGAGCCATGAACGACTGCCACAGTAAAGGGGATTGAGAATGGGCATCTCACCAGATCAAACACCCAAGAAGCCAAATATAATAGGTTTCAAATATTTAAATAAGAACAGCAAGACAATTAGAAAAATGAATCGAGTGGCCTGGGGCTCGTCTTGAAGCAGCATTTCTATAATAACCACACTGTTTTTACCTATACTGGATCTTTTTGGAAGGGGAGATGTTGAGGAAAATTGAAAGAGACATTAAAGGTCCCTGTTCTCCTTCCCACCCCCACCCACACCTCCCTTTTTCATACCTTCTCAGTCTCCCCCTTAGTTCTTGTTCAGGTTTTGATAGGCAAATGGTTGGGGCCAATATTCATTAGAATGGCAAGCCATTCTTACCTGAAGCTGGTACACCCTAACTCATCCAGTGTGAAACACTCCTCCCTCTACCAGAGCTGAGAGGGGGATGCTGCTTCTCTTCCTGACAATGCGCAGAGCTAGAGGAGAGGAAGTGGCCTAGGGCTGTGTAATGTGTGAGCCACCAGCTGATCAACCTTGAATGCTTCTAAAGTGACATGAGGGCAGCTGCTGTGGAGGAACAGATGGGACCATGAGAGCAAAAGACCTTTGTAAACTGTAAAGCGCTTTCCTCCTTCTCATTGTAATCCACCTTGTCTGCAGTTTAGTTCTGAAGTTTCCTCCTACTCCAGTGAACGCATCTTGCAAGTTCACAGCAGAGTCGACCCTGAAGGACTTGTGACAGCTTTCATAGCTTCTTGCCATTCTTTCCCTCATAATAAACACTGATATTCTTGGCGTTGAGAGGCTCTACCGACCACATAGAACCAAGCACCCAACATGGCCTTGCGTTTATTGTCCCCAGAGCCAGCAGGGGGCCCTGTGTCTCTGTGAGAATGTGAGAATGCCACTTGGGAGGGAGGTCAGACGTAACATAATGAATGACATTCCCTGGCCTTTGAGCCCCATAGAGAGAGTCAAACAAACAAACAAACAAACAAACAACTGTCCTGGCCAGATCCCTCTGCTAAGAGTTACTCTTAAGTCATTGGGGACCACACATTTCATCTGAGGGAAGAGAAGGAGACAACTTAAGTGCACCTAGATTGTATCTCGTTTTATTTTCGTGTGTCACACAATTTATAGGACCGGTAGCCCAGCCTCTGCTTCCCATAGAGGGAATATTGTTAGTTTGCCTCATTAGATTTTCAGCTGTTGCTCAAAGTTTTTTCTCTTTATAGAACAGAGAACAACCAGAGACTCATTTTTTAAAGAAGAAAGCTTGTTTTTCAAACCTCTGGGTGGGTAGGTGGGGAAGGGAGGAGGAGGGGAGAGAGAGAGAGAAAGAGAGAGAGAGAGAGAGAGAGAGAGAGAGAGAGAGAGAGAGAGAGAATGTGTCAAATGATTGCTGAGAGTGTGGGGACTCTGGCTTTACTGGATCCCAGGCCAGTTACTCACAGAGTGGTGATCCTTGGGCTTTCCTGCCCACACCTAGCTACCCATTCTTACATATTTAACCATTTCAGCTGAAGACTTTCATAACTAGGCTCTAGCTTATTATCAAACTAAACATCTTCTTCATCACTAGGCTGACTTGTGGTCTTCTAGAAATTTTCCAGGTGTATTTCCTGAATGAAAGTAGAGGGACTAGCACCTAAGGGTGCTAAGGATGTGTTCTCATGTCAGCTTGTGGGCCATAAATCACCACCAGGGCAAGTTATTTCTCAGGTATACAGTCATTTGTTTCTTGTATGTTTTTCCATAAGGGAAAAACTATTTTTTAACAAACGAACACTTTCAAAATTCTTGAATGGTGCTAAGTATCGAGTGGCTGTGGAAAGTAGGCTGGTGGTGGGTTCTCTGACATTTTCTGATTCTTCCTGTGTGTTTTCTTGAGGTCAGTAGGTTGAGGAGAGTGGAAAGGTCAATTCAGGCTCAGCTGTGGCCTTTGGTCAGTTGCAGATCAAATTTAGGGTAATTCAGGGGAAAAAAATTGAACTTGCTTTGTGAGAGCCAGACCAAAACCCAGGATGACACAGTGCTACCATCATAATCCCAGAATGTAATAGAAGTTTCATATTTGGGAATTAGTGCTCAAGACACTAAAGTTAGAAAGAACAGCTCCAATGAATCATTTTGCATCAAGTTTACTAGGAAAAATCATTTTTCATGATTCCTCAGTGGTCCCAGCAATTATCTCCTTTGAAAATACTATATGAATGTAGTGGGATTTTACACACAAGAAGGAAAATACCTTTTAGCTTTGTTTCTTCTTTTTTACTTTTAGAGGTTTTCATATTTTAATCAACAAAAATAGATAGTAAAAATGCACTTTAAACAAACTTTCAAAAAAAAAACTGGATTAGTATACTTTATCAATGCTCATCTAATGTACTATCATTTTAGGAAAGTGATTCCAGCTCCGTTTTCTGGTATCTGTGGCAACAAATGTGTGGATATAGCAGAAATAGTATTTGTTTGTATGAAAATATATTTCCCATGCTTTTCCTGATGGAGCAGACATTTTGCACATTGATAGGTCCGTGGAGTAACAATTTGTCCATTTCTAGTCAACTGCTTTGACAACCAGGGTGAAGCAATTTCCCCACAAGTAATAAAACCTCCCAAAGCCTTTCTTCTGCCCCCCTTATTTTCCAGCCTGTACCCTTAGTACATAACTTGTAAGCATTATCACCAAGGGTTTGGGTGCTTTAATTGGGGTATCCAAAAGGATAGACAAAATTAACCATGTTCAAGTGACCAAAGCAAGTCCATTCATTCTTTTGGAAAATTACAGACATGTTTGCCTTCAGTACATTAGATCTGCAGCCACATTCGTTGTCTCTGTGTCTTTCGATTTTACAAAAGGGAACTGAAATCCAGCCAGTCGTATTAGGAGTCCATTCAAAAAATGAACAAAGAAGCAAATGAAAACGACCCAGAACGAGGTGGCATATTTTTCACTTTGCGTTTTGTAGGCATAAGTCCCTTCTTTATAATTTGCAATATTTTCTGAGAGGTGGTGGATTTTCACTTCAGAGGCAAACAAAATCATGACAAGACAACCGCAGGAGCCTGCAACAGAAAGAACAAACAATCTGTTGGGACAAATATTTCCTGATTGTAAGGAACAGAGAAAAGAGTCAATATGCAAACTAAAGAAAGCCTTTTACCATCATCCTCATTTGCATTCTTCTGCAAAAATACACCATTTCAAATTAGTAATCATGAGCCTGATTCTCCACCAGGTAGGTGGTAGTGTCTGGGTTAGGCTCTGAGTGAGAAAACTTGGTGGGGGGTAGGATCAAAATGATCTTTCAAATACTGGGAGGCGCTCCTCTTTGTGTGATGAGAAGGCTGAATTGCTAGGCACCTTAAAAGCAAAATGATAGAATAAGGCTACAAAGCAGCCACTGCTATGATGTGGCTTCAAGAGAACAAATTTCTCTAAACAAATTTCTCAAAATACTTCATAGGCCACTCAGGATAAATGCCAGTCATACAGCTGCCTTGTGGAAGGCCCTAGGGCTTCCTTTAGAGCAAGGGCCCCCAACCCCAGACCGTGGACCCGCACAGGCCCTGTTAGGAACCTGGCCACACAGCAGGAGGTAAGCAGCAGGTGAGCAAGTGAAGCTTCATCTGTATTTGCAGCCGCTCCCCAGAGCCTCAGCTCCACCTCAGATCATCAGGCATTAGACTCTTATAGGAGTATTGGTCCCTGGTGCCAAAAAAGATTGGGGACTGCTGTCTTAGGGAATTATATGACTCTTCCTCCACCTCCAGCTCCCACCTGGGCACAGCTGCCCACAGGAGTCTCTGAGCAAAAGGAGCTATGGATAAGGTATCGAGGCAGAGAGTATTTGTTCTCATTTTTTGTAACAGAACTCAGGATGGCCATGTGGCTGCCTTGAATAGAGGTTACTTTGGCTGGGAGTGGCTGGGATGTAGGGGCAGGAAAGTCTCCTTGAAGTATGCTATATTAGGGGCCTGCCTCACTTTTCCTTTCCTTCTTCCTGCAGCTGAAATATGAATGCAATGAATGGAGCTCCAGGGGATATTTTGGACCAGGTGGCCTCAGAAATGGAAGCCACACACTATGGATAAACAAGAAAGGAAGAATCTGGATCCCAGACAGCTGGAGCCACCAGATCAACCCTGGACTTTAGGTTTTCATGTGAGGAAAAATGTCTATTTCATTTAATCCACTTTTGTTATGTTTTCCCTCATTTATCACTCATTAGTGTAGCCTAATCTAAGTTTAATTGGTGCAGCTGTGATCTGGGTGAGACCTCTGCAAGGCAGGGGCATCTGTGCTGATTGGAACCTACAAAGTGTAACAGGCCCTCTCCTCCTGAGGGTAGAGAATGGGGCTCCTTGGGTAGGTGAAAGGCACAGGGGCAGAAGCAGGCGGCAAGGGGTCAGGGTCAGGAGCGCAGTGGGTGGCTAGGATTCCCAGGGCTTCCATAGCTAATGTTGCATCCCAGGCCACCACAAAGGGGTGCCAGTTAATAGGAAACTTGCCGAGGTGGTTTTCTGACTTAGGTCCGACCAATTTGGGTTTGTAACCTGATTTTATCACTTGCTGTATGAAATTAGGAAGTTTTAATCACCAAATCTCGATTTCCTCATCTATAAAATGTGGATAATAGAGATAATGCATGATTAGCATTTGGCATTAGAATTGACACATATAAATGCTTACTAACTGGTAGCTGTTCCTATGGTTTTTATGTATTCTTTTCTTCTCTAAAGTCCTTACCATAATCCCCTACCCCACAGCACGCCAAGAAAATCTGACTACATCAGGTAGGCAACCCAGAAGAATGTATTACATACAGTGCCTTGTTCATCCGAATACTCTCCCAATAGGTTTATGAGTCCTTTAGGAGGGGTAAGTGCTTGTTGTTCTTCAATTGTAGTTCATTCAAATACCCTGGGAGCAGCAACATCATGGCTTAAGTTCTCATCCATTAATTCACTCATTCATTTAGTCAGTTAGATTTATTACATGCCAAGTACAGGGATAGTGATGGAGATTTAAACATTAAAGAAAATGCGTATGTTTTCTGCTCTAACGAAGAGTGTAATCGGGCAGGGATCACAGATAAAACAATGATAAACCAATCACAGTGAGTGTAATAGTAAGGGAGGTACAGGTTGCTATTACTGAGGAGTGGGTGGCACCATGAAGGTTCCTTGGAAGTAGCTGCAGGAAAAGTTAATCCAGCAAAGGGAGGCTGGATTGTGTGGGGGAGCTACAATGCAAACAGCGTTTTCCGTTCCTTTTCCATAGGCCAAGTTTGGTTTGGGGTGGAGGTAGAGACTGGGTCATGTGGGGTGGGGAATGGGAGTGAGCAGAAAAGGGGAAATCACATTGTCTTATTAGAATTTCACCTAGCCCTGGCCTCATCAGCTTGATCGTCATCATAATACACCCCCAAATAATCAAATGATATAATTTTCTTGAAACTTTACTTCTTGCCAGCCTCAGAATGGTAGTTGAGAATATCTTTTTGTGAAATTCGTCAGCTTGTTTTTGTATTCTGATCTCAAAACCAGAGCTCTCCCCTGGCAAAACTGTATTATTCCTTTATTGTTAGATCCAACAACAACAACAAAAAAGCTACAAATGCTGTTTTGCTCTTTATCTTTTTACTTGAAAATTGTGGAGAAAACACCATTGCTTTTACCATGAGAGCCTTCTTTGTCTGAGGGGATGGTGAATTTCAGACAAAAGCAAACACTATTTCCTTAGTGTTTGAAAGGAAAATTCAAGCCTGGTTTCCTTTTCAGGTTGTTAATATTTTAAAGGTATAACTTTGTTAAGGAGACAGTGTTATTGTGAGACTGCATTTCAGATTCCTAAAGTAAAAGTTTCTTGGGGTATCTGAAACTCACAGCCTTTTGCCAGAGCTAATATTTTAAGTGCACAAGCTTTCAAATCAGCATGACTTGTCTAATAGTTGAGAGGAACGTCCAATATTTCGATCTGGATTCTGGGCTTGGCCGTGATGTCAACTTGGTCATTTCAGAGTCAGAGCTCAGAAACTCAGCCCAAGTCTCTGCCAAAGCTGCTAAGGGATTGAAGGGAAACAAACTCAGTGTGAACTAGGGATATTTTTGCTTTTCTGTCTATGGCTCTAAAAGAGATATGAGACCAAGGATAATTATTTATGACTTATGGACCAAAAGATACACATGGAAAGTTTCTTTCAGTGGCTTGGCTGCTAGGGACATGGAGAGAGGTGTGTAAGGGCAGAGGGACAAGTAAAGCAAACTAATACCTATGAGTGGATTTTTAGATTGTAATGGAGAGCAATTTGGTCATGTGTTTCCAAGGAGCAGGTGTGAATGAAGGGTTAACACAGTTAAGTTGAGCCTTTTTTCTTCATCTCCTATAATGATGAATCGAGGAGCCCAGGTCTAACTTGAGCTTTAAAAACATCATATTAGTGAGAAGAGTTATTTGTGCAAAGAATAAATTGTCTAAAAATACAATCTTTTCTAATTCGAATTGATTTTCAGAAAAGGAGAATGCCATTTGTTATCAGAAAATACACAGAGCTGCCTCCATTTTATTCACTCAACAAATATTTATTGGATGCTCACTGCACTGTTCTGGGGACTAGGGATACAGCACTGAACAAAACAGACAGAAATCTCTATCTTCATGGAGATCTCAGTGGTGAAGACAGCAGAGAGAGAGAGTCCATAACCAGATAAGTACATCCTATAGTTTATTGGAGTGTGACATGCACTAAAGAAAATAAAATAAAACGGGGAGGGAGGATGGCTTGGGAGAGGCCCCAGAGAGAAGATGACATTTTCGTGTCTCTTGAAGGAAGTCAGAGAGTGGGAAGGTAGATATTTGAGAAGAGTATGTCAGGCTGAGGGAGCAGCAAGTGCAAAGGAACCCAGCAGTGAGAGCAGAGAGAGGAAGAGAGCCAGGCAGAGAGGAGTAAGAGGTGAATCGTGTGTGAGTTTCTGGGGTGGGCCCTTCAAGGGGTGCTTTGGAAGTCGTAGCAAGGACTTGGGCTTTTACTTTAAATGAAACAGAAGGGAAGACACACATGTACATTCTGAGTAGGGAAGGACTCTCTTGACAATTGTGATAGACCGAGACCGAGTATCTTGCACAAGGTCACGGCTGGGCCCTTTGCATAGTGAGTGAACAGTCCTTCTATTGCATCCTCTATGTGAGTGACCTGGAGCACAATTCTCTCACTACACTTCTGCCCCTTTAGCTGCTGCCCACATATCAAAACAAAATTCCTTGCCCGTTGATTGCCATCATGAGCTGGCTAATATTATTTCTTTTTTCCTTCTGTGGCTTCCTTTCTAAAACCTATGCTGAGAAACTAGTAGAATATTTTCATTGCTGACTGTTTCTACTACAAATCCTTGCCCTTCCTCAGGCTCTGTGGCTTTGATGCTGGGACATCTCTGTATCTCTTTCTCAGACTCTGAGCAAAAGCTCCTTCATAAGGATTGAAGTGAAACAACTTACAGATAGTTTTTACCACCAGTTGCAGAATAATGTGCCCTAGGCATTTTACAGAGGCCAGGACATTGTTGATACTAAAACTGATATATAATGTAAGCATTCTATTTTCGTACTGCTCTTTATTTTCCTGTCTTCATGTTTCACATATGACTGTGCTAATTTATGTTCCCTGCCACAATTGTAATTATCATAATTCATTAGACCCATATTAGGAGCATCTCCCTTTTAAAGGAAGGCAGTCATTTATTCATTTGCCTTACTTGGCATAGCTAATAACATAATGCTTTATGTAAGAGAAGACATAATCAATGCAATTTGCAACAAGCCCATATTTTGGAGTTTTTCATATCACCTCCAAAAGACTTGAGCCAATATATTTTGTATCATCCTCAGAAAGTATTCACTGAACTGTCTAGAATGTTCTACCATTGATCACGCAAGTCGTCTACCTAGCCTTCTCTCTTTTACATGCAGATCTGGGGCTATAACTTCAACTTGGAAACTTCTAGAATGGAATATGTAAAGGTACACACTCTTATATCAATGCTCCAGTGTGCAACTGTGAGTCCAG